GAGGAAAGAAGGATTGTTCAAATGTTTGAAACGAAGTCAGAAGATGCACAAGTTGTGCTTTAGAGGTTTCTGCTGCTCATAATTGAGGTAAAGGTCTGCTCACCCCACTAGGAATACAATCTTAAAGATTGCTAATCCCACTGCTTATAATCAATGCTAATATAAGAGGCTAAGGACAGCGTACAAAGGCAACTTTGGAGTTGTTTTATATATAGTTTTTCAGTAGACTTGTGCAGTACTGATTGCTCTCACTGAGCAGATAAGATAATCAATAAGTGTTAACCACAGCAAGACTGTGTGTGGTTCCTATGTACTTATAATAAAACTACATGCATTAAAGTTATATCATCTTTCATAATATAACATACAGGACATCTAAATATTTCTTATTTGGGTTATATTTGGACAGACCTTTGAGAAAAAAAGAAAAGCTTTTGGAAACATTTGCATGCATAATCCTTCCTAAGCTGCTTGGTTTGCAATGTGATTTAGCTTCATGAAAGAAAAGAAAACACTAGGGGCTATTCAGTGTCTGGGCTTGTTAAGAATTGGACAGAAGCCATGCCGTCTGACAGTAGTTGCAGCAGTTTATATGTCTGCGATGCCTTGTTAAAACGTGGCCCCCACTAAGTCCACAGTGGACCGGAGCGGAAGGGTTTTGGTGAATGAAATACTATTCAGCTGAGCTGGAGCCAAATAATCTCATGATGCTGCAAGCTCTTCTCAGATGAAGTGCTGCCTGTGTGGAATCTGGACTATATTTGGAGAAGGACTTCTAGCAGATATTCTAAACTTCTCACCCTATGAACACGACTTTATAGGTCATTATTTTTTTGTCACTTAAAGCTATTTAAGTCCAAATCTTATATATGTATGTAAAACAAAATGCATTTTTCCTTCAGGGGAAGTGGTCCCAACATGTGACATAAGGCACAGCAATCATAAGACACCACAGGACCAACAGGAAGATCAGAACTTGTGGTGAAAGACAACTGCTGCAGGGCATCTGTAGAGCCTCAAACAAAGAACTCAAAGAATCAAACTCCCTTTCACTGGCAGTAAGCATCCAGCGACAATCACTCAATCGCTTTTAACGGTGCAGGTGATTAGCAACGGCTTCAATACAAAAAGAACTGTGGTCGGGTCCCGCTGGGGGACACAGCCTGAGGCAAATGAGGGCAAAGGTCTTCATATGGCTGTTTCCTGAGATGGTCATTTGACTTTTGGCACCAACATGCAACTCTGCAAAAACCAATGTTTGAAACCTATGTGATTTCTTACCATGTATAAATAACTCTGTATTATAGTGAATTAGCTTTTATATGCTGTTTTCTTGGTTTTAGTAAATACAATAAAATACAATACATATTGAAAAAATATGTATTGTATCGGAAGGAAGGAAGGAAGGAAGGAAGGAAGGAAGGAAGGAAGGAAGGAAGGAAGGAAGGAAGGAAGGAAGGAAGGAAGGAAGGAAGGAAGGAAGGAAGGAAGGAAGGAAGGAAGGAAGGAAGCTAAATGCCCCATTTAAACTAGCCCTCTGAAAGTGATCCATGCTGGACCGAGTTTGACATAGTTGGTTCTTACGACTGTTTACACGTCACGCTAGCATGGATCCTCGCCTCCTATCGGCGGTCCATGATAAAACAGCTATAACGTTGGGAATTACACAACAAAAATGGCACCGCCCATAACATTCAGGAACTTATGTGCCTGGATAGCCTCCTCCGCCCATATTTGATTGAGAGATTCCGTCTCTGCATCCTCCCAGGTCGCCACACGCTTTTTTGAGTCATTTATTGTTAAAAGGCTGAGAAGAAGTTCGTGTTGTGAACTGCAAAGCCAGCCAAACCGAAAACCCCGCAAAGTGAGTCAGCTGACTGCAAACAGGTGATGATGCGGTCTGCTCATGCGCTCTTTGTTATCAGAGAACGGAGCCACAGATGAACCATGCTGAGCCCTACTGTTGAACTAGTACCAGATTTAGCGTGGTTCGGTTAGGTCTGGCACGGTCCAGTTCAGCTGCGTTCCATTTACACTTAACAGTTATCTCGGTTAGCATGCTTGGACCGTTCTCGGCACAGTTTCAAAAGGTTAGTGTAAATGGGGCTAAAGTCTACAAATACAAACTATTCTTCCAAAGTCTATTTTTTTTAAAACTTATTCATGTAAAATTTCAAAAGTTCAAAACTTGTTCAGTCAATATGAACCTAGAATGAAAGAAAAAACGAAACCTTTGCCACACATTAAAAGTTACCCCTTTTAGCTCTGGCAGCCTAAAAGGCAGCCCACCTGCTTGCAGAGTAATTGTAGTCTACGTTCACAGCAAACACCTATAACTAAAGCAAATAGTTGTTTAGCGAACTCAAACTACACCAATATGAGGCCGTTTCGGAAAGCTTCTATCATCCACTAATGTTCAAACAACTAAAAACGATAAGCTCTTCTGATTTATCCCAAACATGACAGCCCAGCACCCCGCCAAAACCCCAAATTACATAAAAAAACATTGCCTGGTTTGAATGTGAAGGAATCAGGTGAAATTTTCTCATGCCAAATATGTGTTGGTCCTCCCCCTCTGTTGTGTTTGAAAAGAGCCGTGCAGCCACGGCCACTGGGAGCTGCTCAGAAATTTGCTGAGTCAAAGTTTCACCACACCAACAGCAACGGAGGTTTGTATTGATAAATAATCCACAGTCAATGGGCGCACCGGCCAGGATATTTCTTTCTTTGAAGAGTAAAAACAATAAAAATCCCTGGTTAACTCCCGACTGACCTCACGTTGAACAGGAATGCCTCTGTCTGAGAAACAGCTAAACATGAGTCACACATTACATGATTAGGGAAATCACCTAAGCTTTGTTTTGGAAAGTTGTTTAGCAAAATAAAACAGTTTGTATTCAAAGTGGACATTGTTTTAAATCCTAAAATATATTTTCCTGCATAGGATAAACACAGATCCCAGTTTTAGTCTTTGGAATGATATCACTGTCACTACTTTACATTCCTTTTAGAGACATACTTATGCTGTGAGCAAAGGGTTCAAAGATGAATGATGTCAATATCATACTGTAGCAAGCATTCCTTTAAGCGCCTTAAAATATTCAAGGTTCATTGTGAGGTAGGAGCTAAAGAAGAAAGGGACTTTTCAGGAAATTATTTATGATCACTGTTCATATTACTGCCAAATATCCTGTTACATGTTAAACTTTATATAAACTGGAACATTTATATTAGTTTTATTTGAAGAGCTGTTCTGTAGTATATATGAACCAGGTAGATGTGGAACAGTTACCAACAGGTGCTATTTAAAAAAAAGAGTGCCAACACTTTTCATCACACCAGTTTAAAGTCTTAAACTAACACACATTTAGCCGTGAGCAAATGTCACAGAAAGTGCAGAGAGTCAGAGCTTGGATTATGAGGAATGTCATGCATCATGCTAAGATTTTATAACCACCACTGTTCCCAACAACCTAAATAAGTTGTTATATTCATGCTGATTTTGCAGTTTTTACCTTAGTCAGTTAAATAACATGCTGCCCTGTTATTTGGCACATCTCTGACGCTATTTTCAAATATCCATTACTGTAAAAATGTCCATAGCTGTATATTGCTTATTTTTTTCTCCAGCTGCACAGTTTTATATTGTTAAGACTTTACAGTACAATATCTTATTTTTTTATCTTTTAACTCTTCACTATTATCTTATTCTTATACACTTTTCTTAGGTCAACATTTGTGTGACCATTTTTCTATGATCTTTTTGCTGCTGTAAACACTTCCCCATTGTGGGGCAATAAACAGATTTTCTATTCTGTTCTATTCTGTTCTATTCTAACAAGCCATATGTCTGTTAAGCAACTGACTATAGGTTTGCAACCTGAGCAGAGTAATTAAAACACCTTTGTAGACATAGGAATTACACTGCACAACCTGCCTGACAACCACTCTTCAGTGTGGATGCTGTTTCTGAGTGAAGGCCAGTCAAAGTAAGCTATTTTCAGTATTGTTTAAAATCCCGTTTGATGAAGCAAATACATGTTTCAGGCTTTGGAAACAAGAAGAAAACCATTTATCTTTTTTTTCCACGTTAACAGTGAACTGCACATAAGAGTGCCAAAAATCTAAAAAACAAGGACCTGGAAAATAACTTTAGGAGCTTTTTAGTTATAGCTCTGCTAATCTAATATTAAAATGAAATAGAAACTGCCTTTCTCTATTAAACTTTAAGGTGAAAAACACAACGTTCCTTTTAATTTATCAAAACATTATAAAACCAGCCTATAAACCCTTTATAGGGCAAGTTAGCGTTTTTGATCACTTGCATACCCCTTACAGAGTCCCTACCCTTCAGTACATCTTATTTTGGCATTATATATTATATATATATATATATATATATACCATCATACATTAGCATTAATGCCTCTAAAGTTATGTTGGACCAAAAAAAAAAAGTGTTTCTTTCACTCTCAGAGTGTTTCTGATGAATTTCTTATAGAAGCACTTTTTTTATTTTTCTTAATATATTTGGAAAAGTTTGCATTTCTTGTTATTACATTGACATTAATCCTTCCCATCAAAATATATAATATTACTGGTCTATACATCAGTAGTTACTAGTTAGAGCTTAGTTAAAACTACTGGTGAGCTTAGAGGATGTTCTCTATTTTTACTTTGTGTTTTTAATTTTATTTTTACTCCATTAATAGATTATAACGTTTAAAACTAGTGAAAAAAAGTTACAAAGAACTTCTTTAAAAGTACAAGAATGTTTCAAGGTTTGCCAACATCTGTGCGTAAGGGGAATGCGCTCCTATTGTTGCGCCTGAGCTGCGGAATGCTGTCACTGAGGCAGTTTCTACCAAACTAAACGCAGATAAACACTAACCAGTTTAAGAAGCTGTTAAATTAACATAATTAATGATCATTTTTGGTAGGATCATTTGACACAAGTCAAAGATATAACTAAAAACTTTTTCTTTTTTTTTTAAACCTACCTTTCATCCAGTCGACAACTTGCCTCGGCGTCCACTTAGTTATGGGCTCCATGGCTTCTTCAGTAAAACTAACTGAAATGTGGAAATAAATACATTGAAACTTTTAACTTTCTCCTGTCATGCTCTTCACACAAGCACAGCGCGTTTCCTCTGATCGCCTTCACTCACTAAACAACTGTGAACAATCACGCATGACTGGAGGTTGGACAACCCCCACAGCTCCAGACTGGAATTGATGCTGCCTTCACGGACTGCCGGAAGCGCTCGGAAATAGCACTATTTATATGAAACAATAAAATAAAAAAAAGCCTCAAATGGAGAAAATTGTGTAATTAATTGTGATGAGTCTAAAGTACTGTTTCTATATTTTACCTAATGCATTTTATGGGATTTTTTTTTAAATTATTTACTGTTTTTCCTCTGCATATCGCTACCTATAGACATTGATGTTGCTTCAATGGCCGGCCGGAAGTACGGAAGTGGATTAGGGCCACTGAAAAAATAAAAAAAAGTGAACTGATTTTTAAATATTATTTCAGTTTAATATGGGAATTCGGACTTGAATCTCAGAATTCTGAGAAAATGTCATAATTCTGATAATAAAGCCAGAATTCTGAGAAAAAAAGTCAGAATTCTGAGGAAAAAAGTAAGAATTCTGAGGAAAAAAAACAGAATTCTGAGAAAAAAAGTAAGAATTCTGAGAAAAAAGTCAGAATTCTGAGGGAAAAAAGTAAGAATTCTGAGGAAAAAGTCAGAATTCTTAGAAAAAAGTGAGAATTCTAAGGAAAACATCAGAATTCTGAGGAAAAAAAGTAAGAATTCTGAGGAAAAAGTCAGAATTCTGAGAAAAAAGTCAGAATTCTGAGGAAAAAGTCAGAATTCTGAGGAAAAAGTCAGAATTCTAACTTTTTTCTCATATTATACAGAAATACAATTTAAAAATCAGTTAACTTTTTTATTTTTCTCTTTTTATTTGGTCAAAAAAACCCAAAACAAAACAGGTATTGCCAGTAAGGTATACTTCGAAAACATACAAACCACAAATTCTATTATAACTTATTTTAACAAAGTTACAGTTTACTAATACATGCTTCATTGTACACTGACACACTTGCACACAAACCTTTTTTATTTTTTTTCAAAAAAAGATATGTTTGTTGTTTTTTTTAACTTCATTACAAGAAGAGCAGTCAAAAACATGAATGAAATTTCCCAGAGAGCACCCCAGCCTTGCCTGTAATCCAAGTTATTTATAAATATAGATGCAAACTGAATATTTGATCATTCTTTAAAACAATTTGGGTGGGTGGGTCGGTGGGGGGGGGGGGGGGGGGGGACTACAAAAGCACCTCCCAGTAATGAGTTGGTGTTTCAATAAATCTTATTCTGGGGCTACAGACCTTTTTAATGAGTGCATCTAGAATTTTACCAACTAGTACTACTTTTTATACTAGATATCTATAATATTACTAAATCTCAGCTGAACTGATTCAGTCATACTTTTGCTCATTACAATTATTTAGACAAAACAATTAAATGACTCACCACTGACCTCTACTGGTCGAATAGTAGACAATGCAACACACAGCTTCAAAGAACCACACATTATCCAAGCTATAATTACCTAATTGTAAAAAAAAAAAAAAAAAAAAAGTGTTCTGAGTAATGCAGGTGGAATTACCAAGTAGGAAATATTTTGAGTTCTGGAAAGCATACTCTACAATAAAGACTCTGGGGAAAAAAGAGGATTCTAAAAGTAGTTAAAATTTTCCATCCTAGTTCCTTATATCAGTCACTTCCAATTATTTGATTTTTTTTTCTGTTTAAATTCCCCTTTGTTAAAGTCAAGACAACAAACACTTAATGAATGTTATCTCTCTGCCTCCTGATAGTTTTCCAGCTGGGTGAAACACACCTCGCACATGGGAAAGTCTCCTGGCCCAACCCATCAATATCATTACACAGCTGCACTATAATCAGCCCCAGATGAAACCTCTTGTTCCTGTCGAATGCAGTCATATACTGCTTCTCTTAGGATTTTACTAATATAACTAAGGTTAACATGATGTGTGATGGAAACCAGCCAAATTCCTAATTTGTGACCAAACTCGACCAATTAAGCCAATCCTGGTTTTTTGCTATCATGAACATACTTGTGCCCACAAGGAATATATACCATACCTAGGATCTTCAAACTTGGAAAACAAAGTCCAGTGGATTGCTTTTTCTTTTTTATTATTATTTTTTTGGAATGACTAAGACCTGGATGACTAAGAATCTTCACCAGCATACCTAAGACCACTTATCTATTTCACTTTTTTCACATAAGATTAACAGTACTTTTGTTCAGGCTGTTTAGCGTTACTGATTGAAATGGAAAGACTCAAATCCCGCCTCTGCTTTTCAGAAAGATTTATGCGGCTTTAGGTGGGCTGGAATACAGCAGAAGTCCCACAATAGCTTTAAAGGAATCATGAGATGGGTGTGAAGGTGAGGCAGATGGTTTAAAACAGCCCGTTATCCTACATTAAAATGAACATGATGGAAAAGGCAGGAAATAGGGGAAGAGTTTGGAGGCGATGTGTTACATAATATGTAACACAATATATAACCTGTTTTTATATTTGATACCCAGTGCAATAGCTATACCTATAAATATATAAATACCCACCTATATAAATACCCATTTAATATCCTGTGCAATAACCCTGTATAATAATCCTGCTAAGGAAAAAAAGATTAAGGCCGTCATGCATATATGTGGACGCACTGTATATACTGTATATATCCCAATGCACATTTTCTTCCTTTTGCTCCTTCCTTTTCTTTTTGAAAATTGAAGCTGATATAACAAGTGCATTTCTCCACTGTGAGATCAATAAAGTTAATTAATCAAAATAAATGTCTCATCCTTCCCTTATAAAACACGACAGCCTCCTTTTATTCCGCATAAACATTTATTAGTTATTTCATTTACTTGATAGAGGCAGGCTTACAGTTTCATATAAATAAAAGAAAGCACATGAAATCAAATGCACAGGAAGTAATCCACCTCTCTGTTAGACGACAGGATGTAAAGGCTTCATTAATGTGGCCTCGGTGAGAATGAGCCCTACTTCCTGGGTTGCTTTCTAAATGCTGAACAGATTTACAGTGGGAGAGGAAATGTTAGATAACCTGTTGCCAAAACATTCTACTCCACTCAGTGTGTTGGTTCATGTCAGTGTGGGTGGCCCTGCTACCATAACTAAACCAAAAAAAAAAAACAACAACACAGATCCAGGGACATGGATGGTTTGGTCTTAGAATTGGGATGTTCCTGAAAATATTCATTATAACAGCATCACAAGCTTCAGCTTGCAAGGTAATTATATATTTGTAGGTGCCAGGTGAAAGGGTGTAATTTCATTTATTTTCTTTTAACATCAATGCACTTCTCCTTATAAAAGGTGATAATAGAACCAACACAAATATGACTCCTGAAACATCCTGTGTAGTGTTCTCATTGTGGATGAGTTTACTCTATTTTTAGAGATATTTAAACCTCTTAAACAGGCTGCACGGTGGTGCACTAGGTAGCACTGTTTCCTCAGAGCAAGACGGTTCTGGGCCGAATCCTGCATGGAGTTTGCATGTTCTCCCTGTGCATGTGTGGGTTCTCTCCGGGTACTCCGGCTTCCTCCCACAATCAAAAAAACATGACTGTTAGGTTAATTGGCTTCTCTAAATAGAAGGAGATACGCACCGGCTGCACTTTGACCCTGACAGGACTAGATGGATGGATGGATACTACTTAAAAGTCTTTTTTAAAATTACATTTTTCATGTTAAAGCCCAGAATTAAAAAAGTTTCTCTGGATTTTGTTGTGAAAAACAGGATTAGCTCCTTCCATTTCCGTAACATTTCTCACCAGCTTTCAAACATGCTACAGCCACTGAGTTTTAATAGGGGTGCTTTACAGTTATACACTACTCTTTATTGACCTGTTTAACAAGAAAGTACTTAAATATATATGTGTGAATCCTGCATATATGGAGGTCTAACCTCTAACAGAGCATTAGGTCAAGTGAAGACCTTTATATCACAATGATAAAATGCTGGGAAGACTCATGGGGCATTTTGGGAGTTCGAAGGGATGCTGGGCCTGATGTTGAGGTATTCCAGAACAAAAATCTGCAAGATCTTGTTGAGATTCTCAATAGTAGGGCGATCCAGGTTTTCTTCGTTGTCGTCAAATGTGTGCCACACAGCCGGGAAAGGGTAGGGTATGAGGTGGAGGATCTTAACACCTAAAACAGAAGGAGAGGATTAGCAAAGAAGAAAGAAAAAGGGATTATCACTGATTTAAAAGCATGGCTAATCTGGCCCAGGCTGTACATACCTCGGTGTAGGAACGGTATGTGATCATCGAGAATATGGCCCACAGGACGATCAGGCCAGAAGTACTGCACGCTGTTAGGATGCCCAACAAGCTGGTTCATGGAATGCAGACGCTTTTCTGAGTTTATATGGAGAAAAAAGATGCAACTGTTTAGTTGAAAAAATCTATTTTTTAAATCTTATCTACTGCTTAAACTGGAAATCTATGCATGGAAAATGTCAGATAAAGGCTAAAGGACAAAGGTATCATTTGTCCACACATTTGGTGCTCAAAAACACAAACAATTTATTTTATTGGGATTTTAAGTGTGAATGAGTTAGCGAACAATAGTGAACATACGTGTGAAGAAGTGTAAAGAAGAAAAAGTGTAAAGAACAAGGTCAGGCTTAAAGTCAGGGAGCATTAATCTGAGCCAAGAGAACCAGTGATTCAAAGAGGAATCAGAGATCTATGGCTCAAGGGGTAGTATCTATATACCTGCTAGGCGTGCACTCCACAAATCTGACCTTTTCTTTAAGAATCGGAATGGATTGTTGGGAAAATAGCCAAGACAAGTCCTCCCTCCACAGATCGAACTTGCAAAATACCATAAGTCAAAAAACCTTGGACTATCATCATATTCTGGTTTGAATGCTGTAGAACTTGATATATTGCTGCCATTTTCCCCACAGTTAGAATTAATAAACTATTTTCTAAAAACTACAAAAAAGAAATAGCATATTGATGTATTTTTATGTGAGATGATTAAGATTAACCTTGTGCTGGTTGCCAAGACAAATCCTCCCTCAACAGATTGAACTTGCTAAATACTCTAAGTAAAAAAAAAATTGGACTATCATTGTATTCTGGTTTGAATGCGGTTTAACTGGCTTCAGAGTGAAACTTGGTTACATGGAGGAAACATCTTAGATGCTGCAGCAGGTCACTGGTCTGTGGGTGGGCAACGTCATTATGCAACCAAACAGGTCCGACAGGCCGCAGCCTCAGCACACATCACAGCTGACTGGAAAGATGAAATCTAGCTTCTGTGACTTCCTTAAAAGTATTTTTAAATTTCGCATACACAACCCTGACTCGCTGTTTTAGATGTGCTGATAGTGGTCAGAGATGCTTTGATTATTATTCGAAACCCCACATATCTGTAGTGATTATTCACCAATATCCTGCAGCTTAGAGAGCCAGGAGGTGGTGCTGGGGAACTGGTTCCCGAAGATGGGGCTAGGGGCCCCGATGAGGTCCAGCAGCACAAACAGATCCTGTGGAGGGGAAAGAGAAAGGGAGGGGTTAATGCTACACACCACTTTGTTTTTCTCATGAGAAACTCTTGTTGCACATCCAGAGGATAAACTTTCTGACACAGAGCCGATCTCATGATAATCGCACCTCGGAGGTCTACTTTGAAGCATTACATCATGTGGTCCGTGGTGTAACACCGACATTACCTTATTAACTACAAGACACAGCAAAGTCACATCTATATACAGGCACCACAGCTCCAGTACATTTCAGAGGGAAAGGTTTTCATTTCTTGATACATCGCTGCCATTTTCCCACAGCTAGAATTGATAAACTATTTCTTAAAAACTAAAAAAAATTGGATATTATGAAGTATTCCAGTACCTCAAAAATCTATTTTTATGTAAGATTATTAAGATTAACATTGTATTGGCTGAAGCTTGCCAATAAAAAATATCAGTATTACAAATTAACCACTTTTATGCACATTTCTCTCAAATTTAGATAAAAAATCCTTTTATTCAGTCTGTTTGAGTGTGTGTGGTGTTGATGATTTACATGTAAACGACTTCTGGTGTGTTACTTAAAAAATTGCCATCTAATGCTAAACAAGATTCAGTAAAAAACCTTTAAAAGGACATAACCAGTAGAAAAAAATACAAAGATCCCAATCTATTTAATATCTTACAAGTCCTTATCAGAGGTGTCAAGTAACGAAGTACAAATACATCGTTACTGTACTTAAATACACGTTTTAGGTATCTATAATTTACTCCATTACTTTTTTTTTCTTCCTACTTCTGACTTCTACTCACTACATTTTTACACCAGTATCTGTACTTTCTATTCCTTACATTTTTAAAACAAACGTTATTCGTTACGCTTGGCATCGGTTTAATGTTTATAAATATTTATTTCACGTCATGTGCTCCATCCAATGCAGATCATTGGTGCCATCCACATCTAGTGAAAACTAGTGTAATTGGATGAGTCATATAACGCAAACACTCAATAGTTAGCTAAAGGAAATCATCAGAAGCAAGTAGGTGCTCTTCAAACTGTAAATGTGAATTATCTATGCCATGCTACAATGTAGGATTCAGAAAAAGATGTTGAAATGTCTGAAAGGTCGGACACAGGCGAGAGTGTATCGGGAGATGGAGACTAACAAGACCTCCCTCATCCTTGGCCCTATCTCAAAGAATTTTTCAAAAAAGTCGAAAAATTGAGCTTTCAATTCATATAGTGGTATCTGGCTGTTTTTCTAAAGGTTACTTTATACTTTTATACTTTAAGTAGTTTTTGGAGCACATACTTTTTCACTTTTACTTGTCTAAAGAGGTCAAGTTGATACTGTGAGTGTTTTTAAACTGCAGTATCTATACTTCTACTTAAGTAAATGTGTGTACTTTTACACCACTGATCCTTATCCGGGAAGATATCTTTGTAGGTAAAAAAAACAAATTATATTGTTGCAATGTCGGTTAACCAGCTAAAAACTGATTTTAATCTTCATATTTCAAAGCTTTATGTTACGTTATAGTGTGTTACAGACAGGCACCAGCCTGCTTCAAAAAGGTTTCACATCAAACAAATAATGCCTGAGTAACTAAAAATTTTTTTTTAAAGTATTATTTTGTTGTTTTAGGCAATAAAAAACAAACAAAAAAACATTCAAACCCAACTGTCCTTTTGTGACAAAGGAATAACCTTTAATATTAAACGTTTTTCTGGAAAGCTGGGTTTAATTTTACTAGAATTATTTAAATTTTAACTTGTTTTATTTTCATTGTATTTTATTGCATTGTGTTTATGTATTTTAGCTTTTAAGTTTTTACCTAATTTTCTGCAACTGTGATATCTGTACAGCACTTTGGTAAACCCCGGTTGTTTTAAATGTGCTTTATAAATAAAGTTTGACTTGAGTTGAGTTATCCGCCAACAGGAAGTAGATGAAAATATCTAAAAAATTCAACACATAATTTAATTTGAAATTAATCTATCAGGCTGGAAGTTTTACAGATCAACCCCAAAGGCTTATAGTGTCCACTACATATAACAGTGGTGACCTTCCCAGGACTGGCATAAATGATTCTAAAAGTGCACAGACAGCTCACACTCAAAGCAAACTCACGCTTTGTAGGTGTGACTCAGTTGAGTTGTGTTCTTGATTCAATAAGAGAGATACTGAACAAAAATGGCACTAATGAGGGACGGCCGAGAATAAACCACCAAAAGGACAAAAAGGTCAGTTTCGTGTTCACTAAAAAAACATCTTGATGAGCCTTTAAAATTTGAAAGAAAAAAAAAATCTGGGCAGAATGCAGAGACAAAAGTAAGACGTTTTAAAAAAAAATTCATAATTTGGCATAAAAGGGACACATTAATTGAACAGCAGTCCATCGTATAAAGGTTAACATACAGTCCTTTTTGTTTTTGAATTTAAAGCTAAATGCAAGTTGTTCAGAAATTTTTAAAAGTAAAAATAATTTTTTAATAATTTTTTTTTTTATATATATATAAGATTCCCATCCAATATAGGCTGAATGAAGAACAATGAATTGCTTTGTACTATGCCGTGGAGTTGGTTGGTGTCTTTGGCTCCTTTAGGATGCGGAGTGGCCTCCATCTTCTCTGCCAGGTGACGGGAGCCGTACAGAGAGTCTGTGGCAGTCCACTGGAAAAGTGCCTCCTCACCATCAAAAAAGATCAACTGCAGGGTCAGGTTGGAGCTGGAATTCTAAATGGGATGAGATGGAAAAATAAAGAAACTGCTGTTCCTGAATGTCTATCCTTTAGATCTACTGCCATCTAGTGGTTCTAAAAAAAAACCCACCAGCATAAAAAAAAGACATGATCTCAGTAAAACTCTGTCTAGTAATAGAAATATTTTTAGGAATTACCTCCTTGTATAAAATACCATAATCATTCTATAGTTTAATCTTAATGATGTGGATTATTAGCTTGTTGTCTTTAAGATATTTATATTCAGTACATGAGTCCTTCCACAGGGATTGTTGTGACAAGCAGCTCAGTCCTTTGCTGACACCAAAATAACATTCAGTGTTTCTGCCAAACAATAGCTAGGAATCTGATCCATCCATCCATCCATCCATCCATCCATCCATCCATCCACCCACCCATCCATCCATCCATCCATCCATCCATCCATCCATCCATCCATCCATCCATCCATCCATCCATCCATCCATCCATCCATCCATCCATGCAACAGATGAAATGTACATCCTGGTCCTTTACCTTCTGAGTTTTTAGTTCCTCATCCAGGGCTCGTGCCAGTTCCAACATCATAGCGCATGGGACGGCAGAATCCGTGGCACCTTGGAACTCCCTTCCATGCCACTGAGGGGGATAGTACTTGGAGTCATAGTGACAAGCAAGAACCAGGTGACGTCTGGCTGATGGGTTCAGAGTGGCAACCAAGTTGGTGAAGGGCAGCGGGCCGTAGGGAGTTTGTGACTGAAAACTGTCCTCAGTCACCTCCCAGCCCGCCTCCAGGGAACCAAGGGTTGTTTTAATGTGCTGTCAACACATAAACAAAATGTTTATAACAACTCCAATCATTTTAGATCACAGCAAACCTGCATCAAAACACTTACATTATACACATGAATGATTGTAGATTTTAAATTTAACGTATAGATGTTTTAAACTCACTATTGCACATTAACAACAGTGCCATTACTTAACACAAACGTTCATTTTCATATTGGCAGGAAAATCTTTGAAAAGCAAAATATTTAAAAAGAATATTTTAAAAAATGGAGGAAACATTTATCCACAATAATGCAGAGCAAACATTTGTCTGAAATCTTAAACCATAACATAAAAAAAAAAATAAAAAAAAAAAAAAAATAAATAAATAAAGGGATGATGAATGGTACTGGTTTACAGTATGTGTAACATAGACATAGGCTAGTAGTTTTGGAAAACTACATCTGGTCATTTAATAAACCAGAAAATGTGTGCCAATGAGGCTAATTCATCAAATTTAAAAAAACTTTTATATAATAACAACCTTTAAGCAGGCAGTGTATAAAACATCAGTTTCATTAAACCTACATTTCTGTTCTAATAATTTATGTTTCTTTTATTGACTGGTAAGATATAACATTCAAACCTTACATTTTGTTTTAAGCATAAAAAGCAAAAAACAACAACAACAACAACAACAAAAAAAACAAAACGAAAACAGACAAAAACAAATGCTTTAAAGCATCACGCATACGTTATTTGTTTGTAATAAACTCACGTTCTGTACTGCCAGGCTACCAGCAGAGCCTGGGTACCGGGTAACCAGCAGTGGCCTCAGGTCCCTCTGCCACATTTGCTCCAGATTGGTGTGAGACAGGGCAGCACGGATCTCATCTTCACTTAGCGTGAGCGCGCTGTGCCGCAGCTGTATGTCACAGTGAAGGAGGCATTCAGTTCAAAATTAGAGAGGAGAAAAAAATTTGTTTCTCCATTAATTATACTATGTAATGTCAAAAACATTACCTAAATTAACAAAAATGTTATGGAATAAAATCACAGTTTAATTGAGCCAACGGTTTGTTAGGACATAAAAGGATACATCAACAACACAACTGCTGATGCTTGTGTCTGATAATTGTAACTATTTTTTAAACATGGATGGATGGATGGATGATGGATGGAACTATTGAGGTACAGATGGATGGATGGATGGATGGATGGATGGATGGATGGATGGATGGATGGATAGAATGATTTATGGATGGATGATGGATGGAACTATTGAGGTAATGATGGATGGATGGATGGATGGATGGATGGATGGATGGATGGATGATGTATGGATGGTTGGTGGATGGATGGATGATGGATGGATGATGTATGGATGGATGATGGATGGATGGATGGATGATGTATGGATGGTTGGTGGATGGATGGATGGATGGATGATGTATGGATGGATGATGGATGGATGGATGATGTATGGATGGATGGATGGATGGATGGATGAATTGATGGATGTATGGATGGATGAAGGGGTCCTATATATATATATATATATATATATATATATATATATATATATATATATATATATATATATATATATATATATATATATATATATATACTATACTATAGTATAGTACTATAGTATACTATATATAGTATACTATATATAGTACAGTATACTATAAATTAAGTTTTTGTGATGTGATGGATAAAGCAAGTACTGTAAATATGTGAAACACTCACTTTATTAGGAATATGGTTTATGTAAATAAGAAGAGAATTGAAAAGATATGAAGTGGTAAAAGCAACACCTTAATTTATACTAGTATTTTGTTGTCATATAACAGATGCAGGGGGTTGACAGATAAACTCTTTTTAAACTCTTGATGTGTAATGTTTTTTCATAGTTACAAAACATGGTTGTATGTCTTTTAAAAAGAAGACAAATATCCAACTCTATCTTTAATATGTTTGAGCTGATATAGGAACTTATTCCTGTCAATGATGACGTGCCACAACACTAAAACTTTAACAAAAATGCCAACAGTCATTCCATGTTGTCACCCTGTAAAGCGTATTGTTTTCTACATGAACTGTTGAAACCATCTCCTGAGACCTGATAATAGCTCCCTGAAAAGAAATTGACTATTATTAGTTTAACCATACCCACCGATTAGTAATGGTCAAATCCATGGAATAGACAAGATAACGGAAATCAATGTTTCTTGTTTATGAGAATACTTTGCAGTTAAAATAGCAGCAGGAAAATGATGTTTGCTATTTGAAAGAAAAAAATAAACATATTGATCCTTTAGTCCTATGGCTCTTTGGTGCCAAAGTTCACATGTGGATGCCTGGTTGTCCTGGAAACAAACCGCCAAATGAAGGTGAAGGAAAATAAGCTGAAGGCAGCTCACAGCCGTCGTCTCTGAATCATTCAGACTGAATGAAAGAAATGCCTTCTTTCCTATATTCTGGATGTTTATAAGGCTTTAAAAAAGGCCTTTTAAAAGGAGCTTCAAAAAGTATTTCATAAAATAAATATATTACAAATACTATTATAAATTATTCTATCAAAAGCTGCTTTAATACAAACCATTTTGCAATATGTTTTAAAATAAAAACTAATGCAAAAAGAAATCTACTATTTCAAGCACTGCTTAAGACTTTACTATATGAATAGTCTCTTTCTCAAATAAACATTCAGACGTGTTTTTCGGTTGAATGGTATTTGGGCACATTTTCTTCCGCAAAAACAATGACCTGCAAAACCTGCTTGAAGCTCAAACTGGAGGCGCTCTGGCTGACTCATGCATCTGTCCTTTAATTGCTACGTAGTGGCACATACAGTATAATTACATGGTTTCAGTGGCTGAATATAAGGCTGGAGTCCACTAAGCTTAGAGAGGGTTGAAAACAGGGTCTATTTAAGGTCTGTATATTCAAAGACCACTTGGGGGATCAAAGAGGAGGACTGTGCTGCCATAGCAACTAGTTAAAGGGACAAGAGATGAACAGAGATAGGGAACATGTAAAGATAAAAAATCCAGGTAGATCTCAAGGAAATTTTGAATTGACAAAATTGATAAGGATTAATAATTTTCTCATAAAATGCTTATACTTGTTTAAGGAATTGTGATCAAGATAACACCTGAAATGCAGGTAAACTGTATGTTAAACATGGCCAATTAACCTTAAATAAAGAAAGGAATGAGTCAAACTTAAAACATCAACAATCATGGATTAAATTCAGTTTTAGACCGTGCAAAAATGTTAAGAGACTGCCTCACTCACACAGATACCGTGTATCCTATAACAGCAATGCATAAATGAATCCCATCTAATTGATTTACCTTTTCCTCTGTCCAAGGGACTCCATGGGTGTGAAAGATGAATGTCAGCCCAATTAACGCAGTATAAAATGAACGCATTATAGAAAGCCTGTGGCTTTGCTCAGCCATCGATGTTGTCGCTCCTTTCCACATTCCTGTCTCTATCTCAGAGGGAGCTTTCAGATCATGTGAAAGGCAGGAGGGGAGTGCCTGAGGCTCCCAGCTCCACTGCGTGTCATGAGGCACACACACACACACACACACACACACACACACACACACACACACACACACACACACACACACACACACACACACACACACACACACACACACACACACACACATTCAGCATGTCCTCCAATTCAGTCTTTAATAGTGTCAAATCTTTTATATTAAATTTTTAATTTCCAAATTAATTCAGAAAATCTTATTAATTGTGTTTTTTCCCCATTTTTTATTTATTAAAGGCAAAAAAAAGGCAGAATTCGAGATTAAAGTCAGAATTCCGAGATTAAAGTCAAAATTCTGAGACAAAAGTCAGAATTCTAAGAAAAAAATCATACTTTTTTCTCAGATTTCTGAATTTTGTCTCAGAATTCTGAGGAAAAAAGTCAGATTTCTGATTTTTTACCATATTAAACTGAAATAAGATTAGAAAAAATCTGTCACATTTTTTTCTTATTTTTTTCAGTGGCCTTAATAGTCTTCACTAGAAAAAAGATTAAAATAAATAAAAAATAATTTTTGGGGGAGAAAAAAAAAAGCAAGATTGTTTTACGTCACGCACCACGTGGTCAGAGTCTACGTAGACAACCCGGAAGTTGACATCGCGTGTCTCATATGTCAACATCTTGCAGCCTGTGAGTTCATTTGTATTGTATCTAAAAACTGCGCTGCTTTTGTGTTTATCTGAAGCGATGGCTCAGAAAGAGAGCGACTGGAAGAGGCAGCTGATGGAGAAAGAAAAAGAGATCGCGGCTCTCAAGAACAAACTGGAACAGCTTGAAAAGGTATCGAAGTGTTTATGATCGTTTTCATTAGGATCAGTAAAAATTCAGCTGTTATTCTAAGTGAGAGCTTATCGTAACACGATTGTAATCAAGAAACACAGATGTGCTGTTGTTTTAACATTGTTTTAACTTAATTCCTTTTAGTTATCTATTAAATGGGTGCAGAAAACTTTAATATAGCAGGATCCAGGACATTCATCTAAAGTATGCAATTTAAATTTCAAATAGCTCTGGTAAAAATAATAATAGTTTGCATTTGGACAGTTTTAACTTAAGACATGTGTTTAACTCTTATAATTCAACACAATTTTGAGGTTTGTCCAACCCAAACCTCAAAATCCAATATGACCTCTGACCTCTGGAAAAAAGGGTTTGCAAATGCAATGTATGTGTATTGGTACTTCTAATCCTTTACAATTATCCAGTGCATTCAACTTTGCAATTGCGTACTATGCAATTTCTTTTAGTGAGGGTGTTAAAAATAAAACAATCAATTAGCTGCACTGCTGTAAGAAGTGAGCCTTGTCCCTAATTTCTCCAAAATGTATCTTGAAAACAAATTCAACATATCTATTGAGGCTAAAAGCTGCCAGAATGCCCCCAATGGGACTTTTACTACACTTTGATGAGCTGAAATATTGAGGATATTTAAGAACTTGGAAAAAGTTAGTGACCTAAGCTGGCATGACTTTATCTAATCTCTTATTAAAATGCTCCTTTAGACCCTTTGAACTCAATAAAATACCGCTTTCAAGTTCCTTTTAATGCAAAGTCACTATTACAGTTATAGATTATGAATACCTGCAAAGAGAAATCATGTCCGTACAGCTGACTCAGAATTCGTTTTTTGTTAAAAAGTTCATTTATATTATTAACTCAATTCATTATGTTTATTTATTTGACAGTAGATTTTGAATTATGGCTATAAGGTTGTTATAATTGGAAGATTTGGATAAAAATAATGTGTAACATTGTTTGAAAGCTACATGCACTTTAGTCTTCTTTGGTTGATTTTAAGTAGACAAAATTTTTCTTATTTTTACATTTTTTTTAAGAAGCCAGTTTATTTATAAAGCAGATTTCAGTTGTGAGACAATTCAAAGAGAAAGCTCGATGACTGGGGCATAGAGATAAAACAAATAATTGAAGAAGGTTAGGTAAAACAAAATATGAAAATGTAAAATGATTGATTAAAAAAAAATGAAATTCAATTGTTTAGCTAGCACAATCAAAGGCCGCTCTAAACAAATGCATTTTTATTTACCTTTTACAGCAACTTATGGTCTTCTGCACTTCTAAAGTTTCCTGCGAGTTTATTCCAAATTAGTGGAGCATAAGAACTAGAACTGTAATACAGTTTGGAGCTAAAACATTCAGTGATTTTTAGACTAACAGTTATTTAACAGTCTACTTTTCTCTGAGAACATTTTAGAACTAGGGTGATGTGCTCCACTTTCTTAGTGCTAGTGAGGATGTTGGCAGCAGGATTCTGGATCAACTCTGATTAACTTTCTAGGCAGACCTGTGACGACATTGTTGCAGGATTCAGTTTTACTAAAGAGGAACACATGGTATATTATTTTTTCAAGGTGCTGCTGAGACATTCGTAACCGCGGAGTTGTTCTTTAGGTGATAAGCTGTGATGCTCTTTATGTGAATCTGAAGTTTCAGATCTGAGTCCATCATTGCACCTAGATTTCAATCCGAATTGATGGTTTTTAGCTGAATTAACCGAGTCTGAGGCGCTCTTCTTTTGTTCTAAAAATTATTACTCCAGTTTTGTTTTGATTCAGCTGAAGAAAAATCCGTCCCATTTATTCTATGCATTTAACCAGCACTTTAAATTGGTTCATAGTCACATAGTGACATTATAATATGCAGCTGTGTGTCATCTGCATAGTTATGGTAGCTTATGTTGCTGAATTTATATAATAGAATTTGGGATTTAAAAGCAAATTCATTGATTGGTTCCCATGCAAAATTAACTTAAAATACAAAATAGCAGAACCTGATTTCCTTGTAAAATACGTTTCTAATAATCATATCATAAACATATCAGCTTGAGATGTATATTAAAGCCTTTCTGTTATAGGAAATATCAAAAGGTCTCATGTTATAATGCTCTTCTCATGTGCTTAACAGAACCACGCCTCAGTGCTGGAACTCCAGGACAAAGTGATGCAGCTTAGTCCTCTAACAGCCAAACCAGCGCTCAGCAATGAGGACATCATGCGGTACAGCAGACAGCTCCTTCTGCCTGAGCTCGGTGTAAAAGGTGCTCACACAAACCGAAGGACAGGAGCTTAGAAATGAACTTTAGGTCGAGATTAATAATGGTGCTGAGCGGTTCTATATTCTTTGCAGGTCAGCTGAATTTATCTGGGACATCTGTGCTGATCGTGGGCTGTGGTGGACTAGGTTGTCCACTCGCCCAGTATCTAGCAGCAGCAGGCATCGGTAGGTGGATGCATGCAGACTGAAGAGGCAAATAGATTGGTAGAGTTAACCACAAACTAAAGCTGCATTTAAAGATTCTTATATTTTATTTCGAGATTCATTTTGATGTCAGGTAGTTTGCAACACAGGATGGAAGGTAATGACAAAGTCTCACTGACAGGGCGTCTTGGTCTGCTGGACTATGATGAAGTGGAGCTCAGCAACCTCCACAGGCAGGTTCTCCATGGAGAGGAGAATCAGGGCCAGGCTAAGGCTCTGTCTGCAGCTACAGCAGTGAAAAGGTAACGGCTTTGTATCAGTTTTATCACGCTTTTCTTTGCTAAATCAGTTATTGCTACCAAGTGTTTTGCAGCTGTAGTAGTTTGTATATTTTTTTTTTTTTTTTTACCCTCGGTTGCTGTGCAATGTAAGCTGGCGCTTAACAGTCTCACCACAGGTTATATTTAACAGTGCATTTCTCCTCAGTCCACAAATATTTTGTAAACATGTTATTTTAGAAGCATGTTTGTGGGCCTTTCTAGCCCAACAGTGGGTCTGCTGTGGACTGTCTACATGCTGCCTAATATCAGCCACTTGAGGGCGACATTTCTCTAACTAGCTGCTAACCTGTGCACTGATTAAAACTACTTATGAATCTATACCAGGGGTAACCAATTAAAAATCAGTAGGGTCCCAATAAAGAAAATCATCAACCAGTGAAGGTCCGGAGACATTTTTTATTATAATAGTTACTTTAAACAGAGTTTAACACTGAAATAAAAAGAAGGTGTTTATGCATCCATGACATACATTGACTTTTTAAATAAAAAATTAAACAACAATCTTTCAGTTTGTTATATTGACAATTTCCTGAGTCACTTTTTTATAAAACACCTGAACTGATTGTTTTTTTCTTTCTCTTATATGGCTTAAAGAGAGCAGTGGGCTTTATTCTGCCCTGCAAGGCTTTAAACCTGGGTTTGAATGGAGACAAAGCCATTCTCAATCACATATCAAGGTGCTCATTTGTGAGCCTGGATCCATATTTATTTTTGATTCTGTTCATGGTGGAGAATCCTGCTTCACAGCAGCAGGTTGAGCCAAAGATACTCAAAATCTGCAGGGTCATCTTTGAGCACCATTTCACTTTTCTTTCACCAGTTCACCACAGTTGTTCCAGCAGTCCGCACTTTCTCTGCTCTCTTTTCCTCATCTTCTTCTCCTTCTTTCCCATCACCCGGCTTGTCACAGGTTTGCCTGCTGTGTCTAAAAGTAGCAGCAGCAGCAACCCAGACTGACAGCAGCTTATTGGCTAATTTGTATCACGTGTAGCCTGGAGCCTGACGCTCTGGAGGGCTTTACCTTATTAACAGGAGAAGCGGCTCAAGTGAAGTTAAACACTGTTGTCGGACACCTTGCAATAATTTATAAATGTTTCAAATTGGGTCCGGATTAGCTAGCAGGTGGGTCCAGATCCGGACCCCGGTCTGCTAATCTGTCACCTCTGATCTATACCATACATTATAAAAGTCTGGGAGTTAATAGAAACATATATCCGAATATTTAAGGGAATTGTTAAGGGTTATAACTGTGTATCTGGACAGAGGAACTGCCTTAATTAGATGACCTACTGGGGAAAACATCAGTTCAGACATCCAACAGACAGCTAATATTAAGGTGTAATAAACTCAAACATCATCGATGATAATTATCCTAACAGAATGGTTTAGTTTCAAAGTTTGTTTCCTGTTTTACTTGATTTAAAAAAAACATTAAGAATCAGGAACATTTCTGACTTCTTACTTTTCTTACTTTACTTTTTTAGGTTTAAACCAAAGAGTGCATTTTTTTAACTCTACCAAAGCCGATATATATATATATAGCATTTTTAATGAAACGAAATGTGATACTTTGTCTGAATGTTTCTCTGCAGGCTGAATTCTACCGTGGAGTGTATTCCCTACCATCTGCAGCTCTCACCAGAGAATGCCTTACAGCTTATTCAACAGTATCCTAAGGCTACATCTGTTATCTGCCAACAACTAAAATGCTATCTGTATAAATCCTACTTATAGTTCCCTTCTTAACTGTCTTAATAATTTGTGGCTTCTTAAGATTTATCTAAACAGTTCTGTTTTTTTCCAGGCTGGAGAGATTATACAACATATTGTTCTGAACTTAATCAAATAAGATGCTAAAGTTTAAATTTATACATACTATAATTCAAAGTGGGGCTGCACTGTGCGGAGTGCAGGAACCTGGGGTCTTTCTGCATGGAGTTTACATGTTGTCCTCATGCATACATGGACGTGCCTTTTAGACTTGAACAAAGTTTATTCTCATTATGTATGCACAGAGTGTATACAAAACAAAATTTTGTTGCATACAGCTTACGACAGTGTAATGAGATTGCAGCTGGAATATGATAACATTACACTATTAAGTGGAGCAGTGATCACAATGTAAAAATGTAGGAGAACAACTTACCATTAATATGAAAAAGTTCAGTGCAGTACAAAATAATATGGTGCAAAATGCAGTAGAACAATGAGTGTTTTCCTTTTTAAAAGGAATTATAAAAGCTTGGCAATGTTGATGGTGCAAAATAGTGATGCAGAGTTCAGTTTAGAGTTCAACAGTCTGAAAACTGTCTTAAAAAAGGTGCATACATTTTTGTCAGCAGTAAAGTTGGGCCAACAGTAGAAGCTTAATATTAGCCTTTTTTATTTATTCCCAAACCAGATTTATTATTTTTTTTAAACAACATTTTATGAACATTAAAATATGTCAATTATATTAGTGGGAGCTTCGTTTATTACAAACATTTTACAGTATTCAAGAATAAAAATTATCTCTTAATTCATGGACTTTACCATAGATAATTGGCTAGATGGGTTAAACAGAGCAAATGTGCATTTTCTATTATTTTCTAGGGAAGAATAAACATTTCTTGATGTTTACTGCCAGTTTAAAACAAATGTTCTTCAGTGTTGTGTTGGACTGCCCTTAGCTTTGAGTGCGTCACACATTCACATTTTCTCGATCAGCGTGTGCAACGTTACAGAACTTCTTTCCACGCAGAGTTACAAAACTTTTTTTTGTCCAGATCTTTTTTAGATAATGCTGGAAATTGAACCGCTTTTGCAAAGTCTTCTCAGTCACATCCAGAGATTCTCGGTACGGTTAAGGTCTGAAGTCTGTGGCCAATTCATTATTCAACGTGTCTCTCCTGGGGAAAAAAAAAAAAAAAACTCTCTTGCACAACTTTAGCCCCATGAATCTTGGCCTTATCTTTTTAGAGAGAGCCTTTTTATTTTCACCAGATGCTTAAATTAACAGCATTATTAAGTAGCATTATTAATCAATGAAAGGCTGTTTTGGACAGCCAGTGGATACTTATGTTTAGATTATAATGATCCTGCACATCATCTGCAGTCGGTCACATTTATGTTAAAATGTTTTCGTTATCCAAGAAGTGTTTGAGGACAGGAATTTGTTAATATTCAGTCTGTCACTATTCAGACCGAGGACCCAGATATAACCAAAACACAACGGGTAATAACTTTAAAAGATTTATTGTAGAAACTCTGCAGGTAATTCAGGATCAGGGGAACCAGAGCCTCTTTTTTATATCTTGGTTCCTGAAACTTTGGTTCTTAGAGAATTGTTTCTCACTGAGTCTTGGGAGGTGATAGTGGTCAAAAGAGGTCCATGGTCAGAGCTGGGTGATCAGAAATCCAGAAACAAAGTCAGGGCACAGAAACAAGTCAGGGATCCATGCGGCGCAAAAAACCAGGTCCAACAGGGGCTAGGCAGGCTCAAAAATCGGGAGGCGGAAACAGGTCAGGATCAGGTAAACAGACAGAGAAAAATGCTGGATGCTTACTAACCAAGGCTTTCAGACAATCTGGCACTGTCAACCAGTCAGAGGCCTGCTTAAGAAGGCTGGCAAACAGTTGGAAGGAATCAGTGGTAATTAGGCTGAGCAGCAGCAGCACAGGAAGGCCAAATGAACAGTCAGAGCAGAAGGGAGAGGGGAATGAAATCACAAACACTAGCTGACAGGCCAGAAACATCAGTCATTTATTTCATGATGCCTTGACTCCCCTGACTTCATATATGACATTGTGGCGGACTGTTCAGACAACGTTCCCACCCGTTACCTGGTGAATGACGCCTGCGTGCTCAGCGGCAAACCTTTGGTGTCTGCGAGTGCTTTGCGACTGGAAGGGCAGGTAGGCTGTGTGTCCTCCCTCGGCATGCCAAACCTTTTTTGGGAGCTACTGCATTGTTTTTGTGTGTGTGTTGTTTGCAGTTGACGGTGTACAACTATCAGGGAGGCCCCTGCTACAGATGTTTATACCCACGGCCCCCACCCCCAGAAACGGTAACCAACTGCTCTGATGGAGGGGTGTTAGGAGTGGGTGAGTTGTTTTTTTTCCCTCTGCTTTCTTTTCTAATTTATTTCATCTGAAACTATTTAATGTGTTCTTAGCAACTCATTTTTATTCCAGTTCCAGGTATTATGGGCTGCTTCCAGGCTTTAGAGGTCCTTAAAATTGCCTCAGGGCAAGGTTGTATCCTTTATGTCTAATTCCGTTGCTCCACCTTACATATAAAACTCTCCCTTGTTGTTTTGTTCCTTTGTTTTAAGTTTTTCTCTTTTAGTTTTTTTCTTTTTTCTTGCTCTGACATCAGGATATGGCAACAATGAAAGACTGTATTATAATAATTCCTCGTGTTTGTCTGATAAGCAAACAAAAACACGAATATTTTGTCTACATTTTCTGGACTCTGCTTTCTGCTTATTTGCCATTGTCTTGTGAAACTGCTGGGATTTATTCTGGTTCTCAGTGGAGAATAGGTCTGCTTTATCCTGCCCTTTGTGTTGCATTGTCCGCCGCATGCGGACACCTGGCCACGATGCGTCATTCAGGGAAGCGTTACAGCTTTTTTCCACCGATACTCCCAGACTGCTGCCGTGCTCTTACTGCACCAGCGGGAGACGTTTTAGTCAATTCTCTGAATCTCCTCTCAGACAGTAACCTTTCCCTTGACTTGGCGTGCCAGCTTCCTGCGCTCAGCAGCTGCTGATGTTTGACGCTCAGGCTTTCAGATTCAGGTCCATCAGACTGCGGCCCAAGCAGGCTGGCTGTGCGGCGTGTGGAGAAAGCCCCAGTGTGACGCAGCTGATTGACTATGAGGCTTTCTGTGGGTCTGCTGCCACAGATAAGGTTGGGTATTAAAAGAGCTTATCACAGCATTTCTACACATCACATACACGTCTTATAAATATCAAAATGCATTGTTTAGATGAGTATGAAATAAAGAAGTTTAAGATGAAATACTATTAGAAATACCTAATCCTTTATTAAAAAGTTATAAGTAGGATAAAAAATTATTTTTCAAAGCCTGAAAACATGAAGTACTTAAATATATGGAATATAAATAGCTGGGATTCTGCAGATAAAAAAAATAAAAAATCAAGTTAATTTAAAATGCTCTTTTTACTGTATAAACAAGTTGTTACAAAAAAAAAAAAAAGGTTAAAAAACTGTACTGTACTTTGTTTCCAAGTTTGAAGACATTTTGCTTCTTATCCAGGAAGCTTTTCTATTTAAAATGTCAGGAATAGTATTGAGTTCAAAGTTTTATACGATAGCCAATTAAAAGCTTGTTTTTGTTTTGAAAACATGGAAATTAAAAAGGACAAATGGGTCCACACCTCTGGAATGGGGGTCGTTTTGGCTTCTTTGTCAGCCCATACCTGTCTGTGTCTCTGAAAGGTCGGTCGTTAAAGGGAATTGTTGGCCTGGCTGAAGGGTTAGGGTTAGGCGAGGTCCCCTGCTCTCCTGTACAGGGGTTAGGACTGCGCTGAAAGTGGGAAGGGATCAACTCAATTGCTGCATTGTAGGTTTTTGAAAGCTAACATCTGAGTCCCTCTGTCCAAAGGGGTGGACCCAATCGTCTGTTTCAATTAGCATGTTTTCAAAACAAAAACAAGGCTTTGATGGGCTACTGTATGAAACCTCGAAATCAAAGCTAATCCTGACATTTTAAATTGAAAAAGCTTCCTGGATGGGAAGCGAAACGTCTTCAAACTTGGAAAAAAAGTCCAGTGGATTGCTTTTTAACTTTCTTTTGGATTGACTATGACCTGGATGACTGACAATCTTCACCATCACATATAAACAAGATTAGTTTTTTGAGGAGCCATTGTTAAATCAGAGCACCTTCATAGCTCATATGTTTTAGTGACTCACTGTAGTCCTTAAGCTGGTCGCTGGCTAGAGCTGCAAGAAGATAACAGGCCTTTTCTGCCTATTTGTTCTATAGACCTTCTTAGGGCAATTTTTTAAAACCCCACCTGTTGTTTTTTAACGTCTCTGTATGACAAATACTGCGCAAAAGAAAAAGAGAATGCATCACAAATCAAAGCTAAGGTTTGAAAAACCTGCATTTATTGTAGATTAATCCGATCTGGATTGCTGAAGTTTCGATTTTCAGAAAGCTTGATCGAGAAGCCAAAGAAACACTAAGTTATGCCTTTAGTACACATCTCCAGAGGTTCAGCATCATGATGCTTTATGATTTGTGGAAAAAGCACAATAAATGGTTAGTTTGGGGAATGATTTGTGCCTGAATGCCCAGAGTGTTGTAAAAATGCTTGTAAAATTGAGAAACCGTATCTGGAGAACAACAGATATTGGAAATAAAATATTTGTATCTAGTCTGACATTTATCATTTCTGTTTTTATCACATTATTAAACCTGAAACTGTTTGATCTCCTGATCTCTTTGCAGTGTCGTAAGCTTAACCTCCTGTCCAAGGATCAGAGGATCACAGTGCAGGTAAAGTTTTGCACATACTTCAGAACAGTCGGGTCATTGCGTGACTCCCTGCTTTTAGCACCATTTATTCTATGATTACTCTCAATTTTCTCAGTTTTTATATGCATTCATAAGCAGATTAAATCTCAGCTCTGACCCAGCCTCAAATGGGAAATGAGGGAAAATGCGCCTGCAGAATTTCTAAGGGAAAGAACAACATTTTCTCCTTGGCACTGAGAGCAGTGGTAACGGATTGCATCTGTTTATATTTCTGTTGAATTGGTGATTTAAAACCCGCTGAGTCATTAAGCGCAGAGATGGGGATCGTGATTGATCGGGGTTAAGCTGTAATTATGCAGGGGACTCAATTTAGAAACAGTTTTGCTTCCCGTGATTTAAATCAAAGCTGTTAAACTGTTCATTTAACTTCAGAATTGCAGATCCAGGCAACTTTTTAGCATTTACTGAGTCATTTTGGTTTCCCTCTCTAACTAAAGATACCTATCAACATTTCTAACTTAGAAATAGATATGAGCCACCGCTTTGTTCTACTCAAGCAGTTGTTAGTGTTAAGATGTATGTTAATAAACAGAATGTTTTTTTGAATTTTAATATCGTCATTGATTCATTTCAAAATGTGAAACTTGTAGAGATGCAGATTCATCACAGTGTGGTTTCCTAAGGAAGCCTACATTGCTTTGGCTTCTTCTTGATGATGTCACAGATTTTGCTGTTGGGCCTTGATAACGTGGGTTTGCTTGAACCATGCTTCTAGAGCAGAGGTCACGGATTAGCGGACTGTGGTCTGGATCTGGACCCATCTCCAGATGAATCCGGACCCAACCTGATTTAAAAGATTTATAAATAACCACATGTTGTCCGACGACAGTGTCTAATTTAACTTGCGCTGCTTCTCCTGTTAATATGGTAAAGCCATTCGGAGCGTCCAGGATCAGGCTACACCTGATACAAATTAGCCAAAGAGCTGCTTCAGTCTGGGTTGCTGCTGCGAGCCACTTTAAGACACAGCAGGCAAACTTTTGGTAAGCCGGGCGATGGGAAAGAAGAAGAAGACAATGAGAAAAAGAGCAGAGAAAGTGTGGACTGCTGGAAGAACTGCGATGAACTGGTGGAAAAAAAGTGAAATGGTTTTCTCAGAGATGACCCTGCACATTTTACATTTTTTACATTATGTTTGGATCAACCTGCTGCTGTGAAGCAGGATTCTCCACCTTGAATATAATCAAAAATAAATATCGATCCAAGCTCAAAAGAGTACCTTTATATGCACTTTTTAAATCCTTGCAGGGCAGCCTAAAGCCCACTGCTCTCATTAAGCCACAAAAAAGAAAGAAAAACAAACAGTCAGTTCAGGTTTTATAAAATATGTGAAACAGGAAATTTTCTATATACCAAACTAAATGATTTTTGTTCTCTACTTCAAAAAACACTTGATTTTATAATGGAAAACATTTTTTTTTAATTTAAAAATTAATTGTAAAATATGGATGTATAAAATCCTGCATTTTATTTTAGTGTTAAGTTCTGTTTAAAGTAACAGATTATAATAGAAAATGTCTCTGCAACTTTACTGGTTGAGGATTTTCTTTATTCAGACCCAACTGATTTTTAATTGGTTACCCCTGATCTAGGGTCATTAAAGCAGGGAGCTCAGGGTGGATTTATACTTTCATATAAAAATATGACTTTGGACCAATAAGCAAGGGTCCAGTTAATTTTTCCTTTCACCCAGGTAACATAATAATATATCTTGGCTTCAGGAGTGGCATAACTGAATCCAACAATTATAGACAATCTCCCAGAAAGGACTGTGTCTGGTGACAGACAGACTCTAGTTACACTCTTTGCCCCTTTAAACTCCTCCAAACCCTTAAATAAGCTTGACTTCATATCCTGCATGTTTTCCTCATTTTAATTTATATGCTTTGAATTATCACTTTATTACCTCTAGTGCTGCAACCAATTATTATTTGATTAATTGATTGTTCACTTGATTAGTTTTTCCATTAATGGATTAATAATCATACAGCAGATTTTTGTGAAATTTAAGCAGGTGAAACTAAAACCTTTCCACTTGAGTTCTGGATAAAGCATACTGACAGAGAAAAAACGGTTTTCTTCTAAAAGGCTAAATGTTTATAGATATTTTTTTTTAGAGTTTTGGTATGATTGCTGCTCCAGGTGGATTGTTCTGTCAGCAATATGTACCTTTTTAGAGTCTCTATAATCCATTTAAGGATTCAGCGATTACTAAATTAGTGGATGATTATTTCAATAATCGATTAATCACCATTAATCCAATTAATTGTTTAAGCACTAATAACCACCCAGCAATGTTTGATATTTCCCAAATGATCAAATATGACATTTAATTTCTTCATTGGAAACCCCTTTTCATTGCAATGATTTTTTTAAATAGGTGTTAGTCATAATCATTAGAATTAATTTAATTCTCCTAAATAAGGCAAGGCAAGGCAAATTTATTTGTATAGCACAATTCAGTACAAAGACAATGCAAAGTGCTTTACACGATTAAAATACAGGAAGATAAAACAGAATCAAAGCAAGTAGGAAAAAATAAAAAAAATAAAATAAATAAATAAAATAAAATAAAAAATGCAGAAACAAAAGAGAATATTAAAAACAGTTGGACTAAAGAAAATATGTTTTAGTTGAACTGTTTAACTAGAACAGTCGAAGGCAATCCTAAACAAATGTGTTTTTAGTCTTGATTTAAAGGAACTCAGGCTTTCCGCACTTTTACAGTTTTCTGGAAGTTTGTTCCAGATAAGTGGAGCATAGGAACTAAGGAAATAAGATAAAATATTAAATGCATTTAGGTTTCTATACATGCTTTTATATGTTTGTCTATAATTCCAGGAATATAAATCTGTGGTGGATACCTCTGGACATCATATCTTGCTTGATGTCCGCCCTCTTGTGGAAGTGGATATCTGTCACTTGCCCTTCTCTCTCAGTATCCTTTTGTATTGCAATGGAAATGCACCATTCAAAGAAAGACAAAAAAATCTCCCTGCATACTGTTTCTTAAAAATTCTCCTTAATTGCTACCAGATATCCCCCTCTCCAGTTTAGAGCAGAGAAAGAGTGAAGATATCCGGTTACTTCAGCAAAGAATCATCCAGCTGAAGCAGCAGATGGCAGGTGACTGCCAGCCGCCAGGTACATCACTGTCTATGATCTGCGTCTGTGGTTCGAAACAAACAGGCTCGTTGAGCCACTTTCTCATATTCATGGCCCGCTGTGGTCTCATGCTGCAGCAATGAAGGCTTAGTTTGATCGGTTTGTAACGGAGTTGCTAGGTGACCTTTTCCAAAACAAGTACAGTCGACCTGAGTAGCTGCACTGCTTTAGAGAAATCAATATTCAAAATGTTATTTTGGGGAGTTTCTTATTAAGCAAGACAAATTTAGCTTTCAGGTGTTTCTATTAGCTGCTTTGTTTATCCTTTAATACCCGTTTATACTATGACGTCTGCTGAATCTCTTCTCAGGTGTTGCTTCCTTGCAGCAGGAAATACACATTGAAAACATAATGAAGTTTCCAACTTATTTACTTTTTTTTGCTCTGGTTTCTTCTAGTTTATGTCATCTGTAAGCTGGGTAATGACTCCCAGAAGGCAGTGCAGATTTTGGAAAAGATGAGCGGGTCAGAAATGGACAGTTTCACCGTAAAGGACATCTGTGGAGGGCTCATGGCGTGGGCCAAGAACATTGATTCAACATTTCCACAGTATTAATGTACTGTATGATTGTTTGCTTGTAATAAACTAATACATTTCATCAAGTTGACTGTTTTCGCTTACATGCCGATCGTTTTGCAAATGTCGTGACTTTATTGCAACAGCTTTCATGTTGACAACAAGACTGGAGAGTCCCATTTACTTTTGTTTTATTTTGTAGTAGACTGTGCGTAGGCTGCTGGATTACATGTATGAATTGCAGTTGCAAAATCAGGTTTCTCTTCCTCTTTTTAAAGCTAACCTTTAAAAGTTAACGTCTTTAACAGTTGTAGCAGATAGATCTATCATATTTTTGGATGCAACTCAGCCAGATATATAATTTGATCACTTATAGCCCAAATTAATAGTTCGCCCAAGCAGAATAAATGGATTTCTATCCTAAATCAACCTTAATTTTTATAAAATGTTATTCTTTTTAGGACAAAATATGTCACAGATATCCATATTCATGTTCCACCTTAAAAGGGTGTACAGTTCAGATAAATGAAAAATAAGGAAAAGTTATGTTTGTCATTTATTTCAATTTAGCCACTGAAAAAGAGCTATTCCATAAGAATAAATTAAATCAGTTTAGACAAGCATATAACTAAAACATTTTGTGTAAACACAGTCTCTCATCTGAGCTCCTTGGATGTTTAAAGTTTGTGTTATTGCTGTATAGCCTGACCTTGCCCTAAAACATTGTCCCTGACATATTTTCTCTTTGTTTTGGTCTTTGTGATGCTGTTTGTTTTCTAAAACGTACCCAGACTGTATTTGCCAGTGTTAAATTTGCCTTATCAAGATAAAAGAGTGCCTTATACAAACTTCTCTGACATTTTTCAGATTCCTATTCTTATACTTCAGCAAAATGCACTAAATATATAGGAAAACAATGCATAAAATACAAGACTTTTAGCATGTCAATGCCACTAATAACCAGTAGATGTGAAAAGAATGATAAAAATAGATATTTAACAAACCTGAAAAGATTGTTCCTAATTAGAAGGAACTGGATTATGGATCATCTCTACATTTTTAGTGGTTAAAAGATGTTTTATGATCATTTTAATAAATTGAACAAATGAGAGCATAGAATACAATAATGTTTTCATGGGAGGTTCTAGACAGGGTCCGACGGGGGCCTAGATCATGTCCTGGCCCTTGTACTGAAGCCATAATACTCAAAGAAATTCTAAAGATGATATGCGCTGGAACAGACATGGTTACTGATAGCTCCTTTGGATCTATTTCATTTTTTTTCTTTATGAATTCTATTTGAATAATTATTTAAAAACAATAAGGCGATAGCTTCAGTGGTATTGATATAGGATCCCAGTTTTCATTTGCTAAATGTTTTCTTCAAAACAAATGTGAAAAAAATGCTGTAATTCAGATTTTATAGAATTTTCACTTAAATTTTGTCAAAAATATGTAAAATTCCTAAATTATGAATGTATATTGACTTAATAGGAAATAGAATTGTAATTAAACCTAATTGAATAGAAATTTCACCTCATGTAGCTCTCTTAATATATTTGAATCCCTTGCTCTGTTTTTTTATTTCATGCTTTTCTGTTACCCCATTAGAAAACACGCTGGACCCCTCCTGCCCCCCTGGTACATTTGGCCTAGAACCGCCACTGAATGTATTACTTCAATGATTTTATGTCAAAATTACTTGCCATATTTGGTACAAACTTTCGTTAATTTTCAAAAAATTCAGAAGTTTAGGCCATAATTTTCTGTTAAACAGTCTTTTATTGTCAGTTTGCAGTTAATGGAGCCAAGTTATAATATATAGTGCGACAATGTTCTTCTAAACACACTAAACTTTAATTGAAACTAATCCGGGTCGTGTGGAGGATTTTTTTTTTCTTCTTGGCTCGGTTGGGTTGAAATAACGGAAAAGAGCCGCGCATGCGCAGTGGTCGCAGCGTCTCCAGGGGATGCGCCATTGCTTCACATGGACTGTAGTTCAAGTTTTCCTCCCCGCACATGGAAACTCATTCATGCGGTGATAATAAAAAGACTCCAATCCCCAGCGAGGACTCCTAAAAGATTTTTTTTTTTGTTCAATACAAGTCAAACGGGGGGGAGTAGTCACAGCTGGAAGGGTAATGTGATGCGCATGAATTTACAACCTGGAATAAGAGATTAGTTAAACTAAAATGGACCACTCGGATCGTTTAGGCGAGCCTGAATGAAGAACTTCCCGGTCCTACTAAGTTTCAGAGCGAAGACGCAGCGAGGGACGTCCAAAGAAAGAAAAAAAAAAAAGAAAGGATTAAAGTTTAGGCTTCGCTTTCTCTCAGTGGATGGAGTTGGAAAGTTTCATCTTCAGTTGTCTCACAATGGAAGGACGGGCGCGTTTAGCTGGAAGTGGAGGTAAAGTGTCATTTATTTCGACGGGTTTGGGGATGAAACTGGTTTATCTATTTAAAAGGGCTTCCCGGGCGACATTAGGGCTCGAAAAGAGCAGATTTGGTTTCTTGTATAACTTGTTTTGCTGGCGTCCGTTTGGGTTCTGCCAACAAGTGGGAGGGGAGGGGGGACAGATGTTCCGAAGCTCTGGGTCCAGATGTTCGTGCGGTTCAAAGTGGTATATACGTCCAATTAAAACGTTTCTTTATTCTTCTAATGTTGAAATGATAAAATTATACATATATATATATATATATTTAAAAAAATCATGTCAAGATAGTGTCAACAAAGAAATGAGTTCCTGGATGCATCACAGAAAAATAAAAGGAAACAATATTTTTTATTATAACAAACATTAAAATCGAGCATTTATTTTATTATTATTTTTTTTTATAAACAAAAGGATTATTGAGAATCATTGGAGTGTAACCATGTGATCCCAACCAGAGGGGGGTCCTGGCTGTAAGCTCATCAAACCAAAACACACTACATGCTTTCAATGGGCTTATTTTCGATAATCATTGATAAGTGGGGTTAATTAACTAAATTCAATGAAGAGTACATAAAAGTACATATTTTGACTATTTAATTTTTTTCCTAAATATATCCAAATCCTAATATATCCAACTTTGTGCAAAAGCAAGTAAAACATCAAATATAACTTGCTGCAAGAAGTTGTTTAAGAAAAAGATGCTTGATAAGTTTTGGAACAAATGGGTATCCAGAGTAAATCAAATTTTTATTTTTTTATTTTATTATTTATTTTGCTGCCTATTACCATATATTATCAATAATATGTATCATGTTGATAAAACATTATTTATTCTCAGTCATCCTGGTCATGATCATTCCAAAGATTCCAAGTTTGAAGACTTTTTGCATACCATACAGGAACCTTTTTCATTTTAAAATGTCAGGAATAGTTCCAGGTTTTATACAGTAGCCCATCAAAAAAAAAACAAAAAAACATGTCAATTAAAAAGAACAAAGGGGTCCATCCCATTCCAAAGGGGTGAATTGAAAAAAACTTCCTGGATGAGAAGTGAAACATCTTCAAACTTAAAAACAAAGTCCAGTGGATTGTTTTTAATTTTCTTTTTTTGCTGCATTATTTTAAATCCACCTTTAATATGTTATGAAAGATAAAAAAAGATGTATTTGAGTCTAACTATTCTACAGTAGAGGATCAGGGCCACTGAAAAAAAAAAGTTAACTGATTTTTAAAATTTTATATCAGTAAAATATGAGAAAAAAGTCAGAATTCTGACTTTTTTCTCCTATTATACTGAAATAAATAGAAAATCAGTTCACTTTTTTTTTTTTCGAGTGGCCCTAAACTCTTCCGTACTATTCTGCCCTGTTTAGCACTACTTAATATAGCTGTGGACAGAAGGAGCCTAATGGATGACAGGTATCATTTTCTGTTGGCAGAAAAAATATATTTCATCATCAGTTCTTATCATTATTGCAATATTATGAAATGTATTGATAATATTTTAAATCTATACTAGGAGATGGCTGCTGGAATCATTCAAATACAACATGCAATTTAGTATAGTTTGTTTCCGATCAGATATAAAGCCATAACTGACTCTGCCTCTTATAGTAGACAAATTGTATTGGATTTGATTCCTGATTCTTGGCCTATAACGGCTTGTTACTAGTCAGACGGATCCAGAAAAAAATGTGGCTTCATGATTAAAGGCTGGAAAGGAATTACATTTTCACTGATTTAGAAAGTTGTTTTTTTTGTTTCCCTAAATGAATGAATTCATCAGTTATAAAACAGATTTTCTTTTATTATCTTTGTTTGATATGAAACTTATTTACTATGTCAGTCATGAACTAAAGTAAAAATGAGAGAAATCAGTATATATTCCTTTAAATCTCCACATGTTGTTTAATTATTATGTTTCTTGGATTTTTATATTTCAGAACAACAATTTAACAGATTGCATCTTTTTTGTCAGTATTTAAAATGTACAAAGTAGAATTAAAAGAAGTTTTGGTTTCTATTGAGAAGCATCAAAGCAATAACTTCTGCTGCAGGATGAATGACAGTTTGTTAGGATCATTATGTACAAATGAACAGGAATTAATGATTTATAAGATGTCTCCAATTTCTTTCAGGGGAATGTTTTAATGAGTTAAATAATTAAAGGCTAAATTATGGGGGAAGGTTAGGGATAACCTTAGGAAATAGTTTCAAGGCTAAGTTGAGATTATGTAAACAGCAATTGATTGATTGATTTAATGACGTGAGTGTGTTTGTGTGTGTTTGTGAGAACAGGCTTCCCGTGGTCAGAGTGGATTACTGACTTTAGAAGAAAGAAGGCGCAGAACTCCAGGTTATGAGGTTTGGTGCAGAGGTCTTTGGATCATTTGGAGAAATTTCCCTTCCACCACCTGGCCCGTTTTCTTGAACGATGAATGTATTTTCTGAGCTCAGGTGGGTGGACAGCATCCTGTCATCAAAACTCTTGTGAGTCAGTTACGGCCAAATTAAAAAATACGCTCTGCTAACTCACTGCTACTGATGAGGAGCACACACCCCCCGCGCGACAACTCCACCCGCAGGGATCGAACTGTTTCTCTCTCTGCCGGCATTCACTGAACTACCACCCCCCGCCCCCTCTACGCCACACACACACTGTTCTTCAGCCCCTTCTCACGCCACAACTGGAAGAAACCCAATGTCTGCCTCCTCTCCTCCATCCTTACCTCGAGCCTTTCTCCACTCCATCCATCCTCACCAATCGCCCTCGCTGGGATCGCACGGACAGATCTATCAGCGGCTCTCCAACGGAAGCCACAGTGCCCCCAGCCCCACTAACTCCCGCAGCTCCTTCCATGGGGTGTCCTTCCTGCTACAGATTGGTCTCACCCGGGAGACGGTGAACCTGGAGGCCTGTGACCTCTCGCTGTCCGCAGTCAAGGACTTGGTGTGCTCCATAGTTGATCAAAAGGTAAATATGTCCTATAAATGTTTCTTTTAAGCAAATATGAGGCTGTTATTTTCTACTAATCAATCACTCTGAAATAGAAAAAAAAAAGTCAGCATCAGCTAATCCAAGGAGCACCAACATGAGAGGACCCCAGTGTGTTTTTCTGTCTCCCAACGCAGTCATCTGCTCAGGCCTTGTTTTTCCAAAGCCGACATCTGTGCCATGTGCTTAGAAAATGAGTCAAACGCAGCAGAAACGTGCAGGACGGTTGCACTGGAGCTCCTCCAGTTACACGGCATGCTGTGCACGTGCCGCTTGTTTACGCCTGGTGTTTTGTTACTTGACATGAAACAAGTGCACAAACATATACAGGCCTAAGCCGCACTTTTTTGTTTAAGCTGGAGTCCACTTTTTATTTTCCATGACGGTGGTAATTTGTCCAAACGACACTGCCAGAGTGGATACAAACACTACTTTAGCTCACGGTGTTAAATATAATTAGCCATTTTGTATTTCATTTGGGTGGAAAAAGCCTGTTATTGTCCAGGTTTGTAAGATTTGTTTAAAGGTTGTAATCATTTGCAAGAAATGCATGTAAGTTTGTATCTATGCACATTTTTAGAAAGTGAAAAATTAGTGAAGGATTAAGGATTTGATTTTTTTTTTTGTTTAAAGAAATATTTTAAATAGCTTAATACAGTGAGCTGTATAAAACTTCTATTTCAGAAATCATACAATCTACTTGTATGTCTGTATTTCTAATGGGTGTAGGTTTGCATAGGGACCATAAGGACATGTCCCTACCAAATTTAGGACCGACCTACTTGTCCCTACCAATAAATGTGATTAACATGTTTATAATTTACAATACAGCGTTTATAACGCAGCAGTCGCTTCTATTCGTCTCTCAGCTCCGCTGCCTGGTAGCTCCTGCTGCCGCTCTGTCAGTGCCTGCCCTGTCCTTCCTGTACCTTTAAATAAGCAGCACATGTAACTGTGCTGCACTTTGTAACTCAACTCTCATTGGTTGTTCTGTCTTAAGTTCTGCCTTCGCTCTTTCTGATTGGCTGCTTTCTAGTCTGTATGTGTGCGTGTGTGCTAGGAGCGGAAAATGAAAGTTTTACAGCTCGAATACCGCGGTTTACTACAATTAATATTACACTACGAAACTAGTACCAGTTAAAAAAACGAAGTATTATCTACTCTAAAAGAGGCAAAAGCTGCTGTGTGCACTTCTGTAAAGAAGCAAGAGAGAATGTTTTAATTTATGGAATGAATGTTAACATCTCAAAAAAATATTTAATTCTGAAGTATAATACATTTTATAAAAAAAAAATATATTTTTTTTTCTTTTATAAAACAAAGTCGGTATTTCAATTCACTAGAACGCGAGTACGGACTTGTGCCCTCGCCAAGTTTGTTCTTGAGAAGAACACAGTAAAGTGTGGACTCGGGGGGGAACTGGAGCACGCAGCATAAATGGGTCAATTGGAACAGAAGCGTACTGGTGACGTCGCCACACGCTCGGCTCATCTGGAGCTGCATTTCATCTCTTATTAATAGTCTCTAGATAATAATAAATTCTGACTTTTTTCATTTAGTGGGGGAATAATAATTAACACAGTCAGATAAACACAAATCAAATGAACATTTTACCAAATAAAACAAAAAAATCGCCATCATAGCCAGCGGTCCTTCATACACGGCCATGCTGAGAGGGCTGCTGCAGACCGTCTGCAGTTAGCCCTGGCTGCCATTACACTCGGAGCTCCGCTGGTTGCCGCAGTCCTCTCAAATTCTGAATTTTTTTTTAATTACACACTAAATCAGTAAATGGACCTTATTGTGACGCTTTAAATTATTATATTCTCGCCTAAATGATCTTAAAATGTACTTTTACTGCGAAACAGCAACAGAAAAGATAACTTTTAACTTAACACTCTCAGCTCTGTGAGTGCTCCAATGAAAGCTGCTGCTGCCGCAGTGCATGCTGGGGCAGCTGTCAATCTCAAGAACGGACAAGTCTGCTCTGACGCATGCTGGCTAAATAGGGAGGGGCGAGAGCAACATCCAGGGACTTTGTCTGTTCTTGGTCTGTTGTTCTTGTGAATTGCAACAGTACTAGGGCTGAGGCTGATGACGGTTCACTAGCACACCACCACATTGGAACGCACAAGTAATATTCTGAGTCAGGCAGGAGTTCTGAAGACTGCTGGAAAAATGGTCAAGCAAACTATCAAATAGAGAAGTTGAAACCAAACCTACACCATTGGTGTTTCCTGTTGCTAAGTAGCCTTTAGCTCAGTATCCAATATGGCTGCTACCCATATAAAACAGCAAAAGTTGTAGGTCTTAACGTTTTACAAGCACCTCTGTTCATTTGTTGCGCATTAAACTATTGACACACATTACCTAAATATCCAATTGTAAAAACCTTCTTTTGGCATTTGGATAAAATTTTGGAAAATACATTGTTTTTTAAAATTATTTATTACATGCATATTGTAGTTGGCTCTAAAACAAGTAGAAAATCCATGGGGTTTCCCCAATTGCTAAGATTTCTATAATTTCTATAATATAGCCACACATTGATCTAATGGGATCGATTGCTATGGGTACATGCCCACATTTCATGATAAGATTGAAATGCATTAGGATTAAAAAACAAAAAAAGTGGATTGCACTGTTTAAATAATCAGAATTAAACGTCAGATTGGACTGAAAAGGTTCCATTGGCATGTTCTGATGACAGCTAGCCAGAGCAATTTTCTTCTCAAGGCAGAAATGTCACACGTTGATGCGCATATGCCCACTCAGGTCAGCTTGCCTCATTCAGAATGATTTGTGTCTACATGGAGACTGATTGGATTCTGCATAAATCAGACAAATCAGATCAGAATATTCCGACTGTTTACATTCCATATTTTTAGGCCGATTGTCCGTTTTCTCCGATTAGTTATGTTAATGTAAATGTAGCCATTGCCAAAAAAAAGAATGACTCCTCAAAAGGATAGTGCTTAGCAACTTTGCTGAAATACATTCGGCGTTCCTGTTATCTGGAAGTCTGGTTCTGTTCTGGTGGCCTGCATGAAAAAAAAAATGCCTGCATGGACTAAAGAGCTTCCTTTCTAGGAACCTCTAGCAGCATTTCTGCTTCCTGAGTGTGTTTCATGTTTTATGTATATCGTCAGTGTTAGTTTTCCCCTCCCTTTTTTTTCTTGTTTTTCCTTAAGAAATTCACCATTTACCTGATAGCTGACGTAAAATAGATTAGACGTCTGTTTAAACTGCTTGGCCTATACTTTCTGTACTTCCTGTAAAGCGCTGCTTGTTTATCAAGTCAAAAAACTTAAATTATGTTTATCAACTCTGATGTCATATAATATTGAAAATGAATCAGTTTGTCTTATTCTCATGGTAGAAAATCAGAGTAAAGCCTCTGTTCGGTCTGAAGGTATGACATTTTAAGAGTCTTATGGAGATGGAGAGATGCTGTCTTTTTATTTTTGACAGAAATGTTAAAAATGAAAAGAGGAAGACAGGAAAAGCTGGCTTAAACAGCAGGAGAATACGGAATTAGCCATCTGCACTGAGTTTGGGTCCTTTGCTTTCAATGTTTTCTGAGTTGACATTCCAGAGGAGCTGGGTAATGTTGTTGTTCTTTACGAGGTCTGCTGATTCTCACTAGCTAGTTATGAGCAGTTCTGGTCCACAGAGCAGAAAATCTCATCACAACAGACATTTACATGGATTCTGTAACATGTTGGAGCCGTCACAAGAAAACAGTAAAAGAATAAGAAGTATGTTTAAAGACGTGCATTTGAGAAAATCAATGCACTGTCTTCCCATGGAGCAGATCTGCCGGGATGAAATCCAGATTACCTTATTCTTTTGCACTCTTTTATCACAATAGATGCTATCTAGCCGGATGTGGCGTGAAATTGTCTGTTCTTCTCCACATTATTGCAGCGGGACATATCCCGTCTGCTCAACTGCTTTTGTTGTAAAGTTCGTCTGCCAGTTGTAGCGTGCTGCTTCAACTATTTAATGACATCCAGCCAAATGGCTTTGAGATCAACGGAAAATATGACTGTATCATTGTGTGCTTTCAGTTTATCCCTGCCTCGCTTCTTGTTTTAAAACATGCATGACAGTGGGAAGTTTTTGCACGGTCCAGGTATCTGTGCCAATTTCCCCAGCTGTGGATCTCTAAACCTCGCTGATTGTCCACCGATGGATGTCCCATGGCGTCTCTAGTCAGCAGAACTTCAGGTGTCTGTCAGCAAAGTTGAGGCAGGAAAAAGATTTGGGATTTCATCTGGTAATATCTGCACGGCTATAGAAAAATGGATGCAAGTGTGCTTCCCTCCCATGGTGCCGTTTCCTCCACTGAGACTTGGCCCGCTTCACCGAGTGACTCACCGCTCAGTCATGCAACAAACAGAGATGCTTGGTCCAGCTTGAATCCCTGCAGCCTGGTGTCAAGCTTTCTGCTGTGTCATCTTTTGTGAACTTCAGAGTTTATTTGAGTTTCCATTGCCCTAGCTTTTCTATTAGAATCGTCCAGCAACCTTTAACTTTTTCACCAGAAAATGTTCCAAACAATAGTGAAGTTCAAATAATTAAACAAATAATTGGTGAATAAAGTGACCCTTTTTTGGAGGTTAATATAAGCAGAATTACAATTAATTTCTTTTAAGCAGAGAAGATTGTTAATAAGAAGCACAATGAAGACTAAGGAGCACGGAGGAGAGGAGGGAAGAGCAGTGAACACAACGGAGCAGAGTTAGGTTATGAAACTAATATAGCCAAAACTTTAAAGTCGTAGGGAAGTCATATTTAAATGTTAAATAATTCTGGCTTAAACATGTATATAAATGTGCTCTTCATCAGACGATATTGTCCTAAAAGTTAGAAAATTTCTATAAAAAAAATAAAAAATCATGTCTTAAAATCTGTGGGGATTATTATTTTTTTGTTATCTTATGCAGGTTATTTACTTATATGTCTTGTACACCTAA